GTTTGTCTTTAATGTTTTGTCGTGGTTTCCTTAAAATGCTAAGCGTATTGTTGCTTGCAACCTGCAAATATGTCCAGTCATATGGAGGCATTATCTCTCAGGAAAGAATAGAGGATTCCTGCAGGAATCTAAGGAGTTTAATTGCATGTCCTGATGGATTTTTCATGTTTTACTGAACCTAATGTAAGGCCTTTAATAAAAAGCTGCTGTGGTTAAAGAAGAGGGTTTGCACAAGCTCAGGAGGAAAAGGTAATGGTATTGGTATGCCATTAGAAAATGGCTCAATCAGTGGTTTCACCCAAGTGGTTCCACCATTAAAGGCTTTTTCCCCAAGCACAGGCTGAGCTCCATGATCACAGGTTCAAGCCTGTGGCCATTTTGCAGTAACCTGGATTCCCCAAGCAGTGGCACACAATTGACTGAGTGCTGAGTGTCATTCCCCCTGGCACTCAGTGACACAGCTATCCCAGCAGCCTGCTGCGTACTTGCAGCCTTGTGATGCTGTCAGGGAAGGACACACCTCGCTTCCTATTGGCACTGGACCTCCTTCAAGAGGCTGTGCTGCCTGTGACGTGTTGAAAGGCGAGTCGTTGAAAGTCTGAGCAGTCTGCCTGTACTTCCTCATTACCCATTTGACATTGTCATGGGGTTTGCAGCTGTAAACTGGGATATATTTAACACACAATCGGCTTTTCCAAATCGGGGAGCTGCAACGAAAATAACGGGTGATACCCTATGAGAAAATAGGGGGGAAAAATCTAATCAAATTAAATGGCTATTGGATGAGGTGTGAGAAGAGGGAATCCTGACACAGAGAGCTAAGTAGAAGAAAAATGTGAGGCATAAGGCAAATTGTTTAGCTTTGAAAGAGCAGTCTGCCTGTTGGGGTGATTTAGATTTGCCCCAGCCAGCTGTACAAGCTTTGTTAACCTTTCTGTCTGCATACTGTATTTCTTCTCCTGCAGGCAGAAGGCAAGGTCTGAATTCACAGAGCTGTGCAGCTAAGGTGATGAATGTTGATTTTAGTTTAGGGAAACTTCATATTCCAACGTCTTACATTTCTATGATGCTTCACCTTTGTGTTTGATCATTTGCTGATTCAGGGTCACTATACCTGTTAATTCTTTTAGGGTTCCTGTTTTTGTCAGTAGTTTTAAAATCGATTCAGGAGTTTGCTTTTTTAAAGATTGTTTGCAGTAATGCCCAGATTGCTGGAGTCCTGCAAGAATCCGGTCCAGGCCAGGCATGGGTGATAATATCACTCACGGCTTAGAGTCCCTGCACCGGCTTCCTGTCAGATTTTGAGTTGATTTTAAAGTCCTGATGGTATTCAAAGCACTTGCTATGTATTATATCTGTTAGTCTGGTAGTCTGTGTGAAAGTATCTTTTTATGTCCCATCCCTAAAGAAATTAGAAATTCAGCCACATCAGGTGCTTTGAAACCTAGTTTAAAAGATTACTAGAAAAAGCTTTTTCATGATTATTTTATATTTATGTATGTATTGGCTTTGTTTTGTTACTTTTGTAATGTTCTTTGCTTTTATTTTGTGAAATTTAGTTTTTATGCATCATAAAGCCATTTGAAATGATTGCTTTTAAATGCACTGTATAAAATCAGAAAGTTTCTTATTAACAGCGAGACCTGCATGTCTACATTTTTTCTCCAATGTAAATCATTTTCACTGCTATACAACTAAAGAGTTAGTGCCTTGTAAACCATTTTTGGTGATGAATGTTTATACTGTACTTTTTTGTTTTCAACAGTTGAGTGTTGGTGCATTGCTTTAACCTTATAAGTATGCGAGCTAAAATCTGATTGCTTTGGGTGGGCCATTTTAAAGACTGATTTTATAGTCTGCAAGGAAAAAAAACACACGGGCAACAATTAACTCAAAACTTTCAGCTACCCACCAGATCCTAATGGACAAATTTTTAAAACATGCTTATATTATGGACACGGAAAATTATTAAGTTTTATATTATTACAGTGATTCACACTGATCTAAAATAAATGATAATTTGGATTTTTCAAAAACATGATCACAGTAACCCAAGGCAAACTATACTATAGCTGCAAGTGTATTTATGAATCAAATCTAATTGACTCTTTGTCTGGGCTTTCATTCATATACTGTAACATTCAGGAAAATATACATTTTATGTCTGTATCTGTGCTACAAAATGCAGATCAGGATTAACTGTCTAAAATTTCAGTAGGTTGCCAAAGAATTGCTTCTGCATAAAGAAGGGTAAACACTGAGAACATAGAAGAATGTGACATGTCTGAGCATTTTGCATAGCACTGCCAATCCATTTTTTTGGGGCTTTCAAGGTGTTCCTTGAAGATAGAATCACATGGCTATCTTCCACTTACATGTAGAAATTGAATTAATTTTAATTTATTTCTTTTGTAATTTTAATGCTCTTTGCTGTTGCTAATGAGGACAGCTTGTCATTCATTAATCTAAGAGAATGTGTCTTAAGAGTGAATGGATTGTTGAATAGAAGGTTTCTCATGGCTACTATTCTGAGGTGTTAACCTCAAATAACGAAAACCCTCTGAGAACCCCTGCACACTGCGGTCTACTATAGATCGAGGATGACGTGCAGACTGATCACCCTGCCAGACACACAGACCAGCCATAGGCATCTGCCCTGGGCTCTGAATGAGCTGCCTCAGCACTGGTGTCGTCAGTGGAAATGAGCGAAAGGGCGTCACTTGAATGTCTTGACGTTTGTTGAAAATGGTAACTGGCAAGATTGATGGTTTGTGTTTTGAAACCAGCGGTGATTCACACGGTCAGCGCTGCCACCCACAAGAGCAAAATGAGCAGGAATGTGTCTGTGGGACATCAAAGACTTACTAATGTGCTTGGCAAAGTAATCATAATGATTAACTTAATATGTAATGTACAGTAAGAGTATATTACAGTATATACGTGACCTGCTCTCAAAAAGCCCAAGCCTGGTTTATTCTATTACTGTAAGTTGTTACTGACAACTTCAAAGGAGAGATGGGTAGCATTCTTTCTTCTATATATTACCTTTGCAGATATATCCCTACAAATTCAAGTTATTCCTTATAAATAACCTGTCTGACACAAAAATCTAAACTTAAGAATTGACCTTGAAATGCCTTGTTTAGGGATAGTATGTCTAGCAAGAAGACTTTTTAGGCAAGAAACTGTGATTTCCAGGCTTCTGTGACAGAGGGTTATCAGAGCAAGGGATTTAAGGCAAAATAAATTGGTCTTATTTCTCACTATACAGCAGACAAGAAAGCATCCTAAGGAAAAAAGGTTTTCCTATCTAACAACATGAAAGGAAGTTTCTTATTTACTTGCAGTGATCACAAGGATCTAATAACTGGTTAAGTGCATGCCTGTAAATGTATAGTTTTGAAACAAAGCTTTTCTGTACGCATGTTTAAAATATGAATTGACTCTATTCACAAGCACTTGGGTGGAGCTCGATAAACTGGGATTTTACTGATAATCCAGCCATATTCCATTTAAGCTTCACTAAATACTATAGGATTTTGCTTTGTTTATTGAAAGTTTAGTTGTCCATGTTGGGCTTGCCCATGCCTTTGTAAATGTACAGTAGGAATATTTGTCAGACTGCCCTAATGCTGTCTTTCAGTCGTGCTGAACCTGTTGGATGGAAACATGATGCCTTCTGTGTGTTGGAAAGCTAATGCTAAGCTTTTTTTTTAAAGATCAGGCTGGAGGCTTTGCAGCTTTTAGAAGCCTTTAAATCCCAATGCTCTTCTAATAAAGGATGCAATTATGTTCTTATTGAGAAACACTTAGAGGTGTCGTGGACTGATGAGACTGGAGAGGCCGGTACCGTATTGTGTTGTTCTGAAGGTTTTCTTAGCAATTTAAGGCCGCAGACGCCATTCTTCTGAGATTCGGTGTATTTGAAAAGGTGGTCAGGGTAGGGTGTGGGAAGACAGACAGACGCATCAGATGTCTGAGATTTGTTTGTTTCGGCACCTTTGCTGGCTCTGAGGGCTAATCCTGTCACCTCCGCTGACGGGCTCCTCGCATCAGCTGCCTTCGCCAGCTGCACGGCTGTTTGAGCGACAGGAAGTGATGATCTTCGCTCTCTCTTGCGCTTCCTCAGTTGTCAGCAGTGCACAGAAAAGACTTTAAGCCGGCCTTAACTTGTATCTGGGAAGCCTGTCTTTATCAGTCATGCTTGTTTGTCTGCAGTGAAGTAACAAAAGATACAAAAATCACACTAAACATTCCAGAACTGTACTGCACTGCACAGCTCCCCCAATGCAGTACAGGTTTTTTATCCTTCAATGCAAAATTGGACAAATTTAGAATTTTAAGAATTTAATTGGTAGTTTAAACAATAACAAAGTACTGTGTTATAAAATTCATATTATATATTATACTGAGAAAAGAATTGGTTTATAAGTTTAGTAAATTTAATTTTGGGCAGTTAGGTCTGTGATTTCAGCCATTTTGAGGCAATTTGGAAGGAAATCCAGCACACCAAATACAGTAAATCCTCAGAACCAGAGCTGGGCTCTTTCGATGTAGAGAATTGATTACCACATTGTGTTGCTAATGATACAAGAACTAACATGTTTCTGCAATCTCATAAGTGTAATGTGATGCATTATATTTGCTGGACTGGGACTCTCCAGGCCTGCCTTGGCTGTTAAGTGCTTTAGACCCGGAGGCTCACAAACCTGGTCGTTTTCATTCCAGCTAAGCTTAATTACTTCATTAAATTCTTAATTGAACATGCGAGTTGCTTGACTGGGACATTTGCAAGTACTGCTCAAAAGTTTTATGTTACTGGAGTAGGCTCTCCAACAGGTTTTAAAGCTGAAAGTGGTCAAAGAGCTCAGTCAGTGTGTAGCTGAGACTTTGGCTGAAACACAAACCAGCAGGGCAGGTGTGTGGTCCTGCAGGATCATGTTAAGCACCCCCACTTAAGATTGTTAAATATACGGGGATTTGGTGATTTTGTTTTCCAGGTACCAAAACCTGGGAGCATTCCACAAACTGCAGAAATTACTAGAGTGGCAACAGATCTCCAGCCAAAGAAACAGCAGGCCTACAAGACAGAGATAATTGGAGGAGTGGTGGTACACACCCCTATCATCCAGGTACATTTCCTGCGTGTTCTCAGTGAACAATGTTTTTCTCTTTCTGATTTCGGGCTTTTTATTTTCCTCTCAGCATCAGAGCCATACAGCATTTTGTCCTCCCTGGCCATTTGCTTTAATGGTTGGGTCCTTTGTTTAAAGGAAACATATTTCTAGCCTTAAAATCTAACTTGCATGTAGGTTGTTTTAAATTTTTTGCAGAGTATATAATCAGCTTCTGCAGACTGTATACAGAGTTCATCTGTTGTCTGGAGAGAGCTGTAGAAAAACTGTAGGCTTTTCAGTCTGAAACACGCAATGGTCAATTGAAGAGTTGCCCACAGATCTTTTTACACTTGGGTGTACGGTGTGAAACTTCTTTGTGGGTCTCTGGTTATCTGTGTTGGGAAGGTGTCCAAAAAATGAGTCTACAGGACTTTTGAGCCACCAACGTAGATGAGAAAGAGAGAAAGACACTGAGGGGTGAGGGATGGGCCTGGCTCAGTGGCGTCAAGGACAAAACCATTCGAATGTGCTGAGGTTTTTAGATGCTTATCTGGCTTTGCTCGTCTGTGCAGTTAGCCCACAGAATCTTTGCCGGCTAGGGCCTGACAGTGCTTGTTTTCTCAGCTTCTCTGTTCTGCATTCATAAGCTCCTGTACCACTTCCTGACTGCCTGAGAGCAGTGGTTAGTACTGCAACACCTAGCAAGGCTAAATTTATACATTGATTTTGTGAGAGCACTTATTTTGTCTTTTCATTCCAGGATATTGTGCATAAAATTATTTTCAATTTTTCTAACAATTAGATTTAAAAGGTGAACAGAGAATAACGGGCAATGGGTTAAAAAAAGCATCATCGTCTTTCTGTTTGCTGCAGATGACTTCAAAACGACAGGTTGTCTCTTAGTGATTACCTCTTGCTGCAATACAGTTGTCTCTTTCCTTCTAGGTTTGTGTTGGGTATTAAGAAACTCCCATTTTTTCCTTGACCTTCAGGATCTACCGATTTTGCTTTTGTATTTTTAGAGATAACCCATTGTAATTTAAACCATAGGAGTTAGTCACTATGGAGACACTTTTGTCACCTACTATCTAGATATCTGCATGCTATCCAAAGGGTCCAGCATGCAGATATCTAGTAACCTGCTAAAGGTAACTCCTAGACCAGGATTTTGTCACTATCTGGACCAACTATCGCCCAACCACTAAAAGTACCCCAGCTGTTCTGTACTGTAAGTGTGCTTTTACCTCTGACATGTGCTGTGTTTGCTGGCCTGTAGAATGAAGGAGAGGAGATGGATTTGGGGGAGGGTCTTCCCCATGGCAGCACGAGGAGACCAGCTCCCTCCTCTGCTGGAGTCAGACCAGGAGTTGTCAAGTCTGGTTACTGCGTCAAACAAGGAAATGTGGTGAGTCCCTATCTATACCACAGTATAATGCAAATCTCCTAGGTTCACATCGGGGCCAGTCGGATTATTCAGGTGATAGCCAACGTCTCGCATTCTCATGATAAAGGCCTCATTATGATTAGCGACTCTCTTGTCTGTGAGGGTTGATCAGGTAAAAAAAACCTGAGCACGAATTGTGCAGCTTTGTATCCGCTCATTCAGGCTGACTGGCATAATGTGCATTTTGAGCATTGCTGTCTAAAAATTATAGCAGGACTCTGTAGGTACAGTATACATTGAATGGTGATGTTATCAACAATGGTGGTGGTGTTGTTGTTGTTTCCTGTTATTAGTGCATTTCTGATCCCGGAGGACAACAATCTAGTTGTTTTATCCCTAGTCCCTTAGGAATTTTTAGAGAAACCTCAATAATGTGACAATACAGTATATAATGAGTAAATTTGTTATAAAGAACAGTTGTTTTTAAATCTACCCCAATGAGTTAATGCCAGTCTCTGCTCGTGCCTTTGTTTATATATTCATCTCTTGATCTAACTGCCAGTCAGCCAACTGATGCTTCCACACAATCATTCTGCTCCGTTAAGCAATTGAGATAATGCATTGGCATTTTAAAAGATGTATGGAGCCATTAAAATGATCTGTTTCTTTTGCAGAGGAAAAGCTGGAAAAGGAGGTTCTTTACTTTGGATAACAGTTCTGTCAGTTATTTTAAATGTGAAACGGTGAGTAATCAGATACCACCAGTCTGCATAACTTACATTGGGTATTAACCACAGAAGTTGAAAAAAAGCATGTCTTAGATATGTAGCTATTTATAATATTTCAGAAAATCCTTCCTGTGCTGTCATCTCTACTCCAGTACACTGTAATTGTGTTTTACATATAATTACATAAGGTAAATCTACTGAGTTATACAAATTTTGTTTTTGACATTTTTTATACAAGATCATTGAAACCTTTCTTATTGACAGAATTATTTCCTGCTGCTTCAGCATTTCAGTAACAGCTCTATATGCTCATTTCTCCTAATGTCATAACTATGATGCATTAGGCTCCAGTTAAGCATTAGATCCCTAGCTAAGCTTTTGGTTTGTTATGGTGCATCAAATTTATTGCAACAAGACATTTCTCAGACAGCTTTATAGCATAAGACCTGTGCTGTTGGTTATGGAGATTGAAAATGTGTTTATGGAATGAATGGTTAAATATCTACCAGATAAGTTTTTTGTCAAAGTCATTGTGTGTTTTTTGTACTTTTCATGACAAATGTTTTATTCAGATAGTATGCTGTCACTGCTGTATATACAATGCACAAACATGTCAGGCTTCTCCTGAAAGTACTTGACCATGTGCAGCGTATAGGATGTAACTACATTGAACAAAGGAGAGAGAAATACAAGCCCACGTTTAGCTATGATCGGGCAGCCACATCAGCAATTTAACTCTTTCCATCTATGAAGCATACGCAAATGAATTATCAGAAATGTTCTGTATTATCTGATGCATGAATCACAGTAGGCGATATCATTCAAGAACTTTTTACTGTTTTCTGCACTATGTTTAAATTCACCTCTAACAGGGATGTCAGAGTTAGTATCTGGAGGACTGCATAAAAGACTTCAGTTACTTAATTGTTTTATACTGTAGCACAATTCAAGGGGATCTTTCTACTATCAACATAAAAAAATAAACTTAAGAAAGCTTGTTAAAATGTCCATTGAGACAATAACTAGATCTTGCATTAGAACTCAATTTCAGCAGAATGAGCATCCATCCTGGAAGTGAGCTTGACTGCCTTCACATGTACTGTATCAGAGATGTGCCACAGAACCACAGGCCCAAAGCATGTTGCAGTCTGTATTTAATAAAAAAAACAAAGTGCTGAGATTGGGGTACAAAGCATGTGAATTTAGCTCAATATTCATGCATTTAAAGATCACATATGCTTTGCTTTTCTCTTAATTGGAATGCAATGTGCTGCTTTGGTATAGAAAATTGGACTGTTGTGAGAGGCTTTTTAACCAGAAGCATCACTGGCAATGCTGCTTTGAAGGTCATTACATAAGCAGCATTGAGGAATTGTGTAAAGAACAGATCCCATGTAATAGTAATATTACATACAGGAAGGGTGGAAAAATAAACTTGCGGTATACAGTAGCTCTAATTCTGGGAGAAGTTTTGCTCCACAAAGGACTGTAACTTCAGTTGTCCTAAATTTGCTTAATTGTGATTAACATACATAAGAGAACACTGCTTTGTTCTTCATCACAAATTTGATTTTGTGAGCCAGTGGTCAGGGTTCTGGCCTCATAACTAGAAGTTTGTGGGTTCAAATCCCAGGTGGGACATCCCTATATCCCAAATACCGAAATTTAGTAAGATTTATGAAAGACATTCATAAGGATCATGGCCACTGCACTGCAGTGATATTTTAACATGCTGTCACACATATCTACTGTACACTGATTTATAACAGTTTTATTAAATTTATGGTTTAGATTTGGGAAAATAACTGCAAGAAGCTTAGGAGGAGATGAAGGATTTTAAATGTTTTTAGAACCAAGCCATTTTTAACAACAGCAGGACCTCAAGTATTGCTGCATATTGCAATTGGATATCCATTTGCAACTGAAGATCAGGGTAGAATCTGATTATCTATACACTACGATATCTAGATAAAATATATATTGAATTTGAGTCCAATTTTTAAAGAAAGAGACATTCTATTGACCTTATCTTTGGAATTCTAAAATTAAGGACCTTAAATAATCATGTCTGATAAGGGCGAAAGTGCACCATACAAAATGCTCGCTGGAAGAAATTCAGAACCTCTCCTCTTTCTTTTAAATTCAGAAATTTAAGAGTGCAAGTGTTTATATGAAAATAATATTTTCATATACCTTATATGAAAAAAAACTTTAAACAGATGCAGTTGGTAGATTTATAGCTGTGTAGCCAGGTTGTGCTAATATTGCTGACCTATTTACAGGACAAGGATCCCCTTCGCTCAATCCTCTTGAAGGATATTCAGAAAGTGCATGAATGCCTTGTCAAATCAGGGTAAGAACACTTCCACGTTTGAGGTTAAGCTATTAAATTCTTGAATTACTGACCTGCGTTAGTCATCTCTAAGAGCCAAATTGCCTTTTGCATCCAATTTAATCTTAGTGATCAAATTTGCCAAATGCTTTGTTTAATTAGTAAGTTAAAATATATTTTACAGGGCTTTACTCACCGATGTCTGTAAATCTCATGATAAATCAAGCAGGATGGGTACTCTGAGGGCTTCATTTCAGGCACATTAATTTGCTTTGATTTTAGCCTCATTCTTGATGTACAACATTTTGGTTAATCCTTCACAATAAACTTTCCCCTGTGATTCCAGGCATTAGGACAATACCAAAACTTTTTATTTGTGACAGTCAAGTTCATGTTTACACATTTGTCTTTTTTCATCTGAGAATGTAAAACACATATTGTCATTAGAAATTATTAGATTTTAGGTACAGTACATTACCTATTGAAGACAGGTTGTCTGTTCTATCCATATAATTACAGATGCATGTATATGTGTTGTTGTATTTTAAACACTGTGTATTGATCTAGAATTTTTCTTGTCATGTTTTTAGAGAGCTGCTAATGAGGGACAACCTATTTGAAATCATAACTAGCTCTAGAGTGTTCTATATCCAGGTAAGAGGACTGAATGTGATGCATTTTTCACAACATGTCAATTTCATGTCTATGGTTAGTACACAAATGCTTAGGCACATCCTAAAACTTTCAAAAAGTCCCCTTCTTGTATAAAACACCCTCTGTGAATAATAAACACACCATGGAATATGAAAATCTTAAAAAATATTGGCAACTACAGGAAAACAAACTTGAGAATAATGCAAGTGAATCACACCAAAAATTATCCATGAATCAAGCTTAAACTCTTTTAAAAAAGTCTAAGAGGGTGTGCTGTAAAATCTAAAAAATACACTTCTGTATGGCTTTTTGCTGTATTGTGTGTGAAGGATTTTTTTTTATTCAGGCAAATAGAAGTGTTTAAACTATTGGGATTGTTTTACTGTATTCCTTTCTTTTGCAAAACGTGGTAGAAGATGCACACTATTGCAATAATGGTCACCAGATTTATTTATTTTTTATTATTGAAGAGAATTTGGTCAGAAGAATGCTGGTGAATGGGGTCTTCAGCAGGGTGTGGGCAGTAGCTTAATGTTCAGGTTCTTCCACTGGAGCAAATGACTAGAACAGAATAATTTAAGACTGAGGTTTTTTCTGTCTTTTCAATCATAACGTGGGCACTGGGGAGGGAGTTTTATTTGCAAAGTGAACTAATACTGTGGTATGGTGGCTTCACATCAGTAGAAAATGTTTTGTTGACGTAATTTTGGAAAATGTGACACTTGCAGATTAAGAGACTGATTGAAGTATAGCCCTCTACTGTATTATCCCGGGTTAGCCCTGTGATACAAGAGTGACAAAATGCCAAACGCCAAATGGAGCTGAGAAAAGCTCTCCGTCTGGTAGTCTGGCTAGCTACTGTAGCAGTGCTGGTCTGATGAAGATCACGAAGCTCTGTGTGAAAACTAAAAAAGGGTGTGAACCCACTTATCTGAACATTGCCATTCCCCAAATAAACAATTTCCACATTCTCCAGGTGAATTTCCCAGCTGGTTTTGGATTCTCGTAACATTAGTTCTGGAAAACACCCATATTTTAATGAAGCTGTATTTCTGATGAAGCTGGTTTCTCTTAAACTCTGCTTAAGCAGAAGAAAAAACGGAACAAAAAGCTGAACGGTTTGGTTTGTGGAAAGCACATCATAAATATTTAGCAGTCAAGATTGAAAATGAAGCACAGAAAAGTAATTTACAGTACAAATAACAAAATGGTGTGCAAAAAATACCTTTTCTTAAACATGTAAATGAAATCCTAAGGCAGACCCATAACCAAGTTCTGCTTTCTTTCTGAACGTGGTTTGACTGTACTTTTTCTGATGCTGTGTCTGGCTGTATTGCAGACATGCACCTGTGTTTATCTTCAAGGCCTCAGCAACAGTCAGTCCGAAACTGGGTGACAGCTCAAGGCCTGTTTACTTGGTGCATGTTTCCTTCCATCTGTGTTTACAGAAAAACAGATTATTTTTTTAAAATGCTCCATTGCCCATGTGTGGAGTTAACAACACCATGTCTCAAGCAACGGTCGTTTTTATTCATTAGAGAAACAAAACAGCATCCTGACAGTCCCTTGAGGATGAAGGCTAATTCAGATAGCTTGACTGACTCAGATACTGGTGTAACTGTAGGCTTTGTAGGCTAAATTTAACCATGCTCAGCACACTGTACCTAAACGAGGAAGTTTCATTTCTTTTTTTCTGTAACTCTGTACGGGAGATGTGCTACGGAAATTGTTTTGTCAGCTTTGCAGTGCAAGATGTTGTAAGAAAGAAGAAAAAAAACGACTTTGATAAATATTATGTCATTTTCAGAGCTGGTGCTGTGACAATATGTTTATACTGCAAGACATTTGGTTTTTGGTCCAAAGCAATGAGTTGCTTCCAAGCCAAAGTCAAGGTCAGCATAGAAGTATATGGTGGACTTGACGCACTATGAAGAGTTTGTCATTCCCTTCATACAAACTATTTCTTTATATCTCCAATATCTTATAACCGCAAGATTTTCCAGGCCAGTGCCTTCATTTTTACCTGGAATTTTTAATGGTAATGTGAGGGTGGAAGTTAAATTTTATCTTTTATGTTTGCATATCAGTTATCTCAGCATTTATCTATTAAACGTGCATAACAGGTGCATTGTGACATACTGTAGATTACCAAAAATATTGCTATTTGTGTTCAACTCTAATTTGATGTCAGAACATAATATGTAATAACATAATATAATAAGGTGGCTCTGTGGCTAATGATCTGTGCATGTGGCTGGAAGGTCGCCGGTTCAAATCCTGTGGCCGGCAGAGGAATCCTACTCCGTTGGGCCCCTGAGCAAGGCCCTTAACCCCAACTGCTCCTGGGGTGCTGTACAATGGCTGACCCTGCACTCTGCACCAAGCTTCTCTCCCTGTCTGTCTGTGTCTCATGTAGAGCAAGCTAGGGTATGCGAAAAGATGAATTCCTAATGCAAGAAATTGTATATGGCTAATAAAGTGATCTTATCTGATCTTATCTTATAATATTCTATGCAACTAATCAAGTTAAACATATCTTCTGTTTTAGACATAGCACAGTGCAGCTGATATAGAAAGAATGTTATGGGCGCTTAATTATTTACAATCTAGCAATATTTCTTAAAAAATTTGAAGATGTGTTGAACGTTTCTGCCTTTCAATTTCATATTATTTGAGTGTAGGTGACAAGAGAATATGTTGACTAATCAAATACTACCATCTAGTGTTGAGGTCTTAGTACTGCAGCCTAAGAAACACAATATTAAAAAACAACAACAATGGAACCATATCTACTGTATACGGAACTATTTATTGAGAGCCTTGCTGATACATACAAAACCTTTGAGACAAAGTAATGGTTTAGTTACCAGTCTAAGATTAATTCTTGAACTTGATCTGTTGGTCATCATTACATTATTTAATTGAAAAGGTTTGTTTTGGCAAAATGTTAACATTAAAGTGTTTTTCAAATATTTAGTGTGCATTTAACAATATAAAATAAACCAGTGTTTGTTGTCTTTTTAAATGTAACTTCCTTTCTTTTGTACCGGGGGATAAACAGCTTCTCGATAAGAACAAATGAACTCTTCTTTGGAAGCTCAAATGAAATAGGGTGTTTGAAACTTCAGCTGGGACTCTTCCTATTCTGATATCAGTATTTTTCTTAATTTGTTCTTATTATTAGAATATGGGAAACTTAACAATCGTATTTTGTGATTTGTGATTGTGACAATTTGTACATGTTGTGTTTTTATATTATAGACCTACACTCCAGAGGACATGCATGGCTGGATTAAGGCTATCTCTGGGGCAATCCAAGCCCTAAGAGGACCTGTAAAGGTACTGGTTGATTATATAGTAAATCCACACAATTTATACGTAAAGTACAGTACCCATCTGATAACCTTTTCAAGATTATGAACTTGATCTGTTGTTTTATGAGCCTGCTTGTACAGTAAATCAATGCAATATATCTGTAAAATACCCATCTGTATCCTTTTCAGTTTCTCAAAGGTAACCTGTTACTGGAAAAATGAGAACTGCTGCAGACCCCTCTTTGAAGAATTCTGTAAATTAAAGAACTTTTTTATGTTTTAATTTTAAGGGGATGCTTTTATAATGGACATTAAATGTAAAAATGTGCTTCACTAAATTTGAAGTTGCAAAAATATGGTCTAAATATGTCTGACTTGGAAATTAACCTATGGCGTTGTGGAATATACAATTCAGTCTTTAATAAATATTTCAGTATGGCTCTCTAAGATTTTAACAAGCAGAAACTAGTGCTGATTTTAAGCGTGTATACAATCAAACCTTGAAATCCCTCGTCAATAGCAAAATTATAACAATGACTAAATAGTGACTTTCCATTTGGGTAGGAGAGGATTCGGAAAACAGACATCAGCTATCACATTTGATATTTGTCCCTCATGAGTTGAGGGAGAAGGTGTGATCTGGGGTTTACTAAGCTAAGGAATTTACTCTGATGCCCTTGTTTTTGTCCGTTGTGTGCTCCATTAATTATTTTCCTTCCTGTTCTTCTATCCTCAGGATTCAGGTTTCACTCGTTCCTCCTCGCTGTATAGGTACCAGAGTGGCGGTGCCCGCGGCTGGCAAGGCCGGGAAGACAAGAAGGCACCTCTTGTCAAGTCCAGCTCGGTGGCGCCATCTTGGCAGCCCTGGACACCGGTGCCTTCTGCAGTCAGCAAAGCCAGCCCAGAGATGACGTCTGTGGAGGAAGTAACAGGCCAGTTCAGCTCTCTGCCCACTGTGCACAAGGGAGAGAGCGAGGACCAGGACTCGCTGGGCAAACGCCGGCGGCATCGCTCCCAGCCACAGCCACCCAGTGAAAAGATCTTCCCCTTCAACGTCGACGACGATGGCATTCGTACCACCGACGTGTAGCCCGAGGCTCGCAGGGGGTTGACCCCTATAATGTTGTGAGGGAGGAATCAGAAAGAAGGTAGAGCCTACCCTCCATCAGGAAATCTCAGAAGTTCGCTTGGCTAAGAGGGTGGCAAAATAGACTGATTCACAAGTGGCAAATCCTGACGCAGGAACTGAGCTTTTTTATTTCTTTTTTAATCGCCTCTATACTGATACAATGTAAAACAAAAACCTGGTTTGGCCGCTAAAACAGCAAATTTTCCTTTCCCATCATGCAACCTGAGAAAGCGTACTTTTAAAAATCTTAAGTTTGTTTTCCTTTACAGAGCTTAAGTTTTTTTTTTTAATGTAAATGCGATTTCTGGCTTTGCTTTCAACAGACGATTGCGACATCAGCCCGACAAAGACACAAACACGGCATTAAAGAATTTGACATACAGTACATAGCTCCAGCAAACTCATGTGTGGCAGCATCGAGCTTGACGTAAAGGCTGAGCTAGAGCAGTTCATTTATTTATTAAGGTACAGCAGAAAAGCGAGGCTTCATGGTACCTAATCATAACTGGTTTGTCCTTTTTTCCCATTTTGAGCACTAAATTTAAGATTCTCTTTTATGAACTTGATACTTCAAGTGAAAAAGGCATATCCAGCAGCCAGCTAGGGTGCCCTAATGTACAGAAGGCGTTCATTGGTTAAGTTAATGAACCTGGGAGAACTGAAAGTTTAAGAGCTGCTAAGCTATTTTTATATACTTCTTTTTCATGTAAACATGTTGAAGAAATAACTGTTATCCGTATACCTGTAACTTTTCTCTTTAAGGTACGTGTGAAAATAAACAGGAAAAACTTTAATTAAAAAGTATGGCTATGTTTTTAATTTAATTCCATGACGCATAACAATTGCGATTTCATTTAAATCCCAATGTGGGCATGCCAGAATTCTATTTTATGTCAAAATCAAGATAGAATCAGCCAAACTTAATTTCCTTGATTTTTGTTTTACTATTTCATTTTTTAAAAACCTTGGAATCATCCTATAAGAATGGATTGGTACATAAAATACAGAGGCAGGGAAAATACTACTTCTGACAGACACCTATTTTTAGGATATTTAACTGGGCGAATTATCTCAGTCATGAGGCTGAGGTTCAGCGTACCTCAGTCAACAAAACATATCATGTTTTTTCTTTAGTCCAATTTCTAGTATGTGGCGTCTTGTTTCCTGTAGCCACTGCACATTAGCAATGTTAATTATGTTTAGTATATGCTGGACATGTTTAGTATTTCCATGGTACAATAAAGACCGCTATCGTGCTTGAACATGGTTGGTATTTTACAAGATCCTCTCATGCTGAATTAAACAACGAGCCAAATGGTACTTAAAAAACTTTCAAAAGGAGTACAGTATTGATGCCTGCTTTTGCACATACAGTAGTACACACCTGAGTTTTCTGTTCTGTAAATGATACTAGCTATTACCATGCATTCATAGTATTACCTTACATCTAAAGCTCTGGTTTTGACTTTAGAAAACTGACAACTATGAATAAACAGCCTTTTGGTTTCCATATTATATTCTGGTTCTGTAAGTTCAGTGTTGGATTTTTTTTAGTGTGACTAAAGATGGTCTACTCCCTTTTCTCTTTTCATTCATTCAATACACATTAATGCATCTCGAAAACTTAATTCCTCTTCTTTAACCCGTCTTAGTGTTCCTATTATCAGTCTGAAGCGTATTGTACCATAACATTGGACCATAATCTCTTTTGTGTTCAAGAAAGCAAAAAGTGGGCCTGTCTACCTACTCCATAATCATCATGTCATTGTCTTTTTAGAATTAGAAATAAGATAATGAAATGAAGGAAGTTTTTATTTATAGATTAGTAGACTCAAAATATCAATGTATACAAAAGTGAAATCGTTTACAAGCTTACTGTACATAAAAAAACAGTTAAATAAAATGGGTCTTTTTATTTGAGCACTTTTGCTAAATTTGATCACTCCTTTTCTGTTTATAGTATGGAGCTATACAGCATTCTCCTTCCACTTATGGAAAAATAAACTGTACTAGCCTTGTGTGCAGCAAACATCTTTGTACTTTTTAAAATTTAGGTAATATTGTCAACTTGAGCTATCAGGAAACATTGCTCACACACATTTAAATGTTGTAAATTGTTACATTTCTTATTTTCAATTTGCTCTTCATTTTGTGCATTTTTGTAAAGCAAGTATGATAATGAAAAAGTTCAATATTCTTGCCTTCCTGAATGTACAGTATCTAGTGAACTCCCCAGTAACCTTGAAGTGTGATGTTATATGGTTTTGTGCTTTGCTGTGTTTTTCTAATACATCTTAATGAATTTAACTCTTTCGCTACAGTACAATGTACAGAAATTGAACAATGTGAAAACATTAAAGCTTCCTGTGTTCTTTAACTTTTGTATGTGTCGTTTGCATGAGCTGTTTAGCAGGAAAGTTAAGCCACAATAAAAGTAGCACAAAAGTGGAACATGAAGACGTAATAAACATACACACACACACATATATTTACACGCATGCTGTACTTTTGATTCATAGTAAGATAAACCTGTAATTTAGAATTCTAACAAATTTTGAGCATTGACATGCTAATCTTTTTTTTAGAATGCAAGCCTACATTTTTTTTAACTTAAGAATCGTTTTATTTGAAAGATTAATCAGAAAATATTTACGTTTGTGAATAAATGTAGTACATTTATTAGTTTATAAAACACGTGAAACATTATGCTCATCTTTAAGGTTTTGTATATTTAGGATTAGGATACTGTACTGTAAAAGGTATGTATATAAATACACATCCATTTTCTAACAGCTTCTTCCAATTCACTGTCAGGGGAGGGAGCTGGAGACTAACCCGATAAGCAACGAGTACAAAGCAGAATCCAACCTAGTGGCATAAATTCTAAAATATATACAGTATTTTTTCTTCTTCTCAGGCATCGTCTTCCTGTTTCCGCCCTAATGTAATGACGACATATCCTCCATTCGCAAGATGGAGGATGAACATGACTGAAAGCGTGATATTGGTTTAAAAAAACATTATTTCTTATGTGAGCTTTATGTTGTAATTTATTTATGACCGTAATCATTTTCTAAACAATCATGACAAATTAAAATACACGGTAAATGTTAATACGTGCGCAATGTAGTTTGTAGAGCGGTCGTTACTTCCGCTTAGTCTCAAAAGACTTAAAGATCAGCTGTTTTTTTAGTGATAGGTTTGTTTGTTCTTTCAATGATGGTTGTGAACTAGAGGGAAAAAAACATGCCTCAGGTTTCGGTTAATTATATTTTGTTGTGCGGGCAGATTTTGTTGCTTTTGACAGTGTTGTTAATACAGTGCTTTGGTCAAATAAATTCTCAAATAGAGAGTAGCACATATGGAAATAACGTTACATCTCGTATCACAACGGATGAACCTTTCAACGACTTGGAATACAAAGACCCAACTTCACCGGTAGTTCTCTGTGAATATCTGTAAGTTGATGCATTGATACGCTTCAATTTAAAAAACAGACAACTAAGCTCTATTTGTACCACAGTCGCATCTTATAAGTGAAAGAAATAATATAATATTTGTCCGTGCTGCACTTTGAATTTGAATGACGTGTGGCAAATGTTTTCGCATGAAAAAAACTTAAATCTGTTACATTTACAAAGTTCTGTGAATCAATAAAAAACAAAACACGTTTTTTTCTCTTTCACCATAAAGGCCAGAAGAGTTCATATACTGTCAGGAGCCAGTGGATCATGCTGGAAATCATACAGCTTTTGTGGAGATGGGTCATGGATGTGTGAAGGTTTTTATTTTTAATATATATATATACTGGAGATGAACCAAATACTCAGAGACCCTTTTTGGTACATCTCAAGTTCTACATGACAGTTGAAGAGGATTCGATAAGTGTTGCTGTTAAAAAGAATAATATATTAAATAATGTCTTGAAATTGTCTTTGGACTCTTAATGAATTAAGGTTTTACTATGTGTCTCACTTAGTTACGTGTGCCTGCCTTTTAGAATGTTATATCCTTTAAGGACAACTCTTAATTTCTTGACTTCTGAAGAGATAAGTTAAAGCATGCTAAACAAATGCAGTGTGATTTGCATTATGCATACACACAGTATGTACTGTATACTTTATAATATAAATTGATATTAAGCAAAATGGCAACTAAGACATAGGAGAATCATTATTTTGTCTAATCACCCAGTTTCAAATCTTACATTGTAAACTGTATTTAAATACTGTAGTGAAGGTTAACTTAGATTATTGTAAGCTATTTATGCATTTGCCAATATATACATTGCATTCATTACAGAAATTTAAAAAAAAATTTTTTTTTTCCCACTTAGTCACATTTTGGATTTGGCACAGGTTTATTTTTGATCCCTTTGTAAATTTCACTTCGAGGTGACATCTGATTTCTGTGATTCAAATACAAACGAGAAACTCATTTCAATTTTGTTTTCTCTTTTCAGTTTGGTGGGCAAGCTTACAAAGATGTAGACCACACAAAGGTTTTGTGCACAGCACTGGAGAAAATTGAGTGTGCTGGACCCCGTGAGTTTTTGAGGGGGAATGAGCCCTGCATTAAGTAAGTATTTTATAGAATACACTACATTTAACTGTCCACAGACTGGAACACTTCATTTTAACATTCTTAATAAGGCTATTTGATTTTAATTTTCTATTTGGGGTCTATCTGTAAATTTTATTTCAGCTTTTAAAAGGTCAGATGGAATTTGTAATTGGGATCAACCCCCTACTGATTTTAGAGCTGCTGTTATTCAGGTGTGGTGCCTGAAATGTAACCTCAGCAGGAGGCAGAAACACTCTCTGTGGGCGTGTCCAATACAATGCCATTCCCAATGTGGGCGTGCCCAATACAATGTCATTCCCAATGTGGGCATGTCCAATACAATGTCATTCCCAATGTGGGCATGTCCAATACAATGTCAGTCCCAATGTGGGCATGTCCAGTACAAGGAACAAGTAATAGGTTTATTCCATGCTGAAAAAAAGAAGAAAGAGAACACAACGTTTCGGCCGTGGAGTCTTCTTCAGGTGTGAACAAAACAAGTAAGCACCTGAAGAAGGCTCCACGGCGGAAACGTTGTGTTCTCTTTCTTCTTTTTTTCAGCATGGAATAAACCTATTACTTGTTCCTTTGCAGCCTACGCATGCTGACGCAGCTACCCACCTGAACTACTATGTCCAATACAATGCCATTCCCAGTGTGGGCGTGTCCAATACAATGTCATTCCCAACGTGGGCGTGTCCAATACAATGTCATGCCCTCTGTGGGCGTGTCTGCTACAGGGTTGTTTCAACAACCCTGTGTCAGTTCATCAGTTGATCAACTACTAAGAGCTGTTTAAGCCATTAAGGCAAATAAGTTGAGGAGAGGCTAAAGTTCTGTGTGCTGAAGTTGTTGGAAATAATTACTCACAAAGTAGGATCATTTTTATACTCGAGTTATCGAAGAACAAAATTAATCAAAAGTCAAAACAAGTAAGCAAATCAAGTAATCATTACTTACCACTTTTCTAAATGTTGTTGTGAGTGCAAGTCCCATTTGGCTCTTAATGGCTCATGTCCTGTAAATATTAATGAGATATGGACCAGTTTAAGAGCTTTTTGCTAGTTTTTAAAGCTCTTTTAAAAACATCTATCAGAAAGACTTCCAGAGACTTGCGAAATGTACTTGAAGAATTAGAGAACCCTACATTCAACTTTCAGATCTCCAAGTGAAATATTCAATGAGTAGACAAGAAGTTTTGAAGAAAACTATAACCAGTAACTGAGCTGATATTTTTTTCTTAGTTTTTAAGAGGATAAGTTATAGATGAAGACATAAACAATGATTATTGGAGTCCAGGATTGTAACCATGGTAATTAAAAGAGTAACAGCTAGGTTAAAAAGAAAAACTCTTACTCTGACCACTTGGAGGAGACATTTCTTATTAAATATGCTTTGCAATAATGTTAGTTCAGAAGCAGCTTTAAGGTTAAAATAGTATGTTAGAAAAATAGTATAGTTCTAAAACTATCAAATTATTTTGAACCAGAACTGAATCTAACAAAAGTGTTTCCCCTTTATAGTAATTCATATCCAGGTAATTTCAGAGTCTCCTCTTTTTGTAGTTCAGTATGTTTATAATATGCATCTTGTTATAACAGTTACAAATCTAAAACTGTGGTTTATATTCACAGATCATGTGTCATAATATAGTCAGTAGTCACTTTCTTTACATTTGCTTCTTAGGAATGGTCCTCCTGTATAAAGTAAACCTTTTTACCAAGGTTTGGGCTTTAATCAAAACATAATTACTGTTCCATCGTGTGCATTTAGAAAATTTAACAGTCATGCATCCGTAATACTACTTACTGCCTTCTCCAGTTAAAGAGAAGAGTTTCCAAACTGAACTACATATCTCCTCCCTTTCCTATGCCCCTTGAACCCCTCTGCTATCAGTATTGTTTTCAGACAGAATGAGCATCACATAGTTAAATCACATTAAGTCTCTCCTTTACAGAAAGCCTTGTGCAGTAGCTCAGCTGCACATCCTTCACCTTGGAGTGTGTTCATAACTGAGCTGACTTGTTTAATGTTTCAGGTACACGGGACACTACTTCATTACCACACTGCTGTATTCCTTTTTCCTGGGCTGTTTTGGGGTGGATCGGTTTTGTCTGGGCCACACGGGCACAGCTGTGGGCAAGCTGCTGACCTTGGGAGGACTGGGCATCTGGTGGTTTGTGGACCTCATCCTTCTTATCACTGGAGGACTGATGCCGAGCGATGGCAGCAACTGGTGTACTTTTTATTAAAGACAGCAGGAGAGGACAGGAGTCGCTTTGATATTCTGAACTTCGAAGCAGAGGCTTTTGCGACTAACTTCAGTGGTCTCTTAAATACCGGTGTGTGTTGCAATGATAGTTCTCAGATATGGAATGAGTGTGCAAAAGGAAAAGTAACACTGTGATATCTTGCGACTTCTTCTGTTTGACACGCTGAAGATGTGTGAAATCTCCTGTAATATGCTTTAAACCACCCACACAAACATTCTCATGTACTGTTTTTCTTCTGGATCAAGGACAGCCTCTGGAACACACTGAAGTTTAGGACCACTGACTTGTTCCAAGGATCCCTCTTAGAAAAGCAAGATTGATTAGCTGATTATCTCGCAGAAAGAAAGATTTGGTGTCCTTCCCAGTACAGACCGAAGTGCGATCAGTTCGATAGATTTAAAGAAACAAAAGCTGGTTGCAATTGAGTCTTAATTTTAAAACTGCATGTCTAGGTGCTTTAACTGGAGGCACTCAAATAAACTGACAAACTAATAGGGTTCTGGAGTGTCTAAACTGGTAATTTTGTGAAAAGCTTTGGTCTGTGTAATATAGGTTTATTTACACTTACTCCTTTACTTTGACAGTTTTAGTAATGGAGGATCTTAATTCCAACAAGGTCCATTTCTTTCCCTTTGAATTGAATGTTTTTTGTTTGCTGCAGGTTTAAAAGTCAAGCCACTACTTGTAAATGATCCAAAACCCAGGTTTTATTACTTTCTTCCATAAGTCTTATATTTTGTGATGGTAAGAGTATAAGTTCCAAAATGTCCTTTAATAGCTGTTCCAATGATTTGTTTTTATAACTGGAGCCCAACTGAACAAGAATGAAATTCCGTAAGAAAAATAAGATAAATCCCGAGGTATTCCATTTGAAGGTAGACATGCTAATAAAATAGTTTTTTTTAAATATATTCTTCTGCTTATTTGTATCGCCATTGGAGCCCCTTTTCTGAAGTGCTGTATCTGGGAACCAGATTCCAGGTAATAATGTGTTTCAGTAGTAGTATTTTTTTTAATAGGTTTTGCATCCCGAAGGTTATCGCTTTTCAACTAATAACAACATTTGAGCATTTCTAGGAGAGGATTTGATTTTCTTTTATGGATATAATACATTTGTATTGTGGTAGATTGACCACATGTCATTTGTTTAGATAGAAAGATAATACTTTATTAATCCCGTAGGGAAATTGATGAAGAACAGTGTCCTGCTCTGTGGCTAAGGATCTGCGCCTGTGGCTGGAAGGTTGCCGGTTCAAATCCCACAGCCAGCAGAGGAATCCTACTCCGTTGGGCCCCTGAGCAAGGCCCTTAACCCTAACTGCTCCAGGGGCGCTGTACAATGGCAGACCCTGCGCTCTGACCCAAGGCTTCTGTCCCTGTCTGTGTGTCTGTGTCTCCATGGAGAAAAGTTGGGGTATGCGAAAAGACAAATTCCTATGCAAGAAATTGTATAGGGATAATAAAGAAACATTATTATTATTATTATTATTATTATTATGGGAGCTAGTTGACATTAAGGAAACTGATGTAGAGTTTTGCTGTTTGGTTAAGAAGTATTGCATGGACACTCATCCTTTTAGAAATCTGCAGAAACATGGTTTTCACAACAGATGTGGGTGGCAAAACAATAATTAATAATGACCTATAGAATATTGCCTCAAGCATGCTATTCTTCCTCACTGGACCTCTGACAGTGTTTAGTCTTCATCTATTGGTCTTTCAGGCATAACTGCAGTACAAAGTTGTGTAACATTGTGGCTTCTCAAAGAGATAGTAAGCAACAGAAATCCAGGTAAATTCTTACTGCTTATTAACAATATTAGCATCAATATAGTGTACAGGTAAGTTATCACATGAGGGTATATAAACAACATTTGTGGATGTCTGATTTCTGCCTCTGTTACTGTATGCCCTGCCAAATACATACTAAATTACTAAAACATAAAAGCAATTTAAGTGTACATGCTGAATTAAATTCTAAAATACTACTAATAATATTTAATATTAAAAAGGGTAGTTTGAATGCAGAGGTGTGTGTGCAAACACTGCAGGTGTTTTCTGTATGTGTATTATTTGTAAAGTTTTATATTCTAATGTATTAGCTGTCCAATTTGAAGGTTGTGCTTTTGTGTTGAAAATGTTTCATATTTTCCTTTTTGTTGTGAAACCACAGGGCTGCTTGATTTTATAACGGAACTAATCAAATTCCACTTTTTTGGGAGTTGTTTAAAAGAAAGAAGAAGTCAGCCTAAAATGCCATGATTCTTCAAGAGGCTGGTGGCAGGGGGATTGTCTAGTCTTGTAACACTAAGCTATAAATGTGGAGATGCTTTTATATGGGTCTGCTCAATGCTTGGGGTTTTTATTTGGCTAGGCATAACTGTTGTGTTTCTGTGTACAGTGAACACTATCTCTAGGGTGCTGTGATAAAGTATAGCACTGATTACAGGATAATTCCAGCATTTCTCTTCGCTGTATAGAAACTCAAAAGCCGGATAGCATGAGCTAACAGATTCATGCAAATCCTTGGCACGAAAGCTTGAATTTTTTTTTTCCTGTTACTGCAACTCTTAAAGGGGCTCGGGGCCTTGAAACCCTTTGCTGTCATCATTAAACTTTTTTTTTGTGGTTTGTAAGTAATGTTTATGCCTCAAGTCTTCCCCTAGACAGTAATGTGCTGTGCAGCACTGCTATGCTTAATTTTGTTATTAAATACAACCAAAACCTATTTTAAAAAATAGTTGTCTTATGTTTTTTTAAATCAATTATTGACTTCAGATACACTAAAAAATAACTTTCTTAAAATAAAAAAATAACTTACAAAAGGTTTACAAGCCACTGAAGTGGATCAGATTGTGCTGTGTCCTCATATACACCATTTACATACTTGTGTATAATTGATGGAATGGCTTTCTCTCGCTACTTGCAATTTTATGTAGTAAAAAAGGGCAGTAGTTTCTTTTTTCTTAAAGGTTTTATTGTGATTTTCAGTTCAAAGGTAGTATCATCACAGTTGGTTATATTCTTCATTAATTACATAGAATTATTAAGGTAAAGTCATCGTTTAATGAAAATGACTGTATAATACATATGGAAAATATGTTGCGATTGATTTTTAAATTGTGTTGAAATTTCCATTTAGGCCTCTGTGCTTTGTATATTACCCTTAACATTACACACAATCGCAAGAAACATTTTACTCATAGAATGTAGGTCCTTACATATCACTGCTGTTGAGAATTTGGCAGATTAAGTGCTTTTTGTTTAATTCATTTTTATGCTTTGTCCTGAATTGGGTAACTGGAAATCAGTCCGTTGTCAAAGACAAAAGTTAGCTTCCTATTGCAAAATTGGAGAGTAAGAAATAGAGGTCAGAATCAAACTTCTGTTTTAGAACAGTCTAATAATGACATATATAAAACTTATTAAATCCTACATTTTAATGTTAAACTTTATTGCATGATATTTTGCATAGTTTAACAGTATTCAGTTATTCTTGTCTGTTATACACAGTATATGCTGTGTGTGAATCTTGATATTGTGCTAATTTTGTCCAACTGAAAACATCTTTGCTCTTTGCTGAACTTATTTAATACTGCAATTATCATTCTTGAAAACCTGTAGGAAAAAATCAGAAAAAAGGCTTAGCTACCTTAAAAATTAATTGTATCAGCAATGTTTTTTTTCCAGTGTTTATCCTCTTTTATATTATGTTTTTGTCATTTTTAAGATGTGCTATCTATCTTTATCACGAGATAATCTAAAAACTAACCCTTAATATCCTTACCCGGTTTCCCCAATCAAACCATTGATGTCTAAATAAAATATCTGAAAGCACATCTATAGGGAAACATAACTAAATGCATGGATAATTTCAGAAAAGTAGTTGAGAAACGTCTGTTTGCAACAAACAGCAAGTAAGGTTAAAAAATCAGTATGGCAGAGGAGTCAGAAAACCTGCTAAAGAACATTTTTTTCTGTGGATACATTAGAAAAATGCAGCAGGTCTTTGTTGAGACCCAGTTTTTGTCCATTTCAATCAGTCTATTTCTTCTGGAACGACAGTGAGCATAATGTCCTCATTTCCTCGGCGCACCACCACAGAGAGCGTGCTACTGGACTTGACCGCTTCGCTCACATCCTCTGTGGTTTTCACAGATTGGTTGTTGATGCTGATAATCACATCGTGGTCCTTCATGCCAGAGCTAGGGGAAGAAACGACAACAGAAAGACGACTATGTTTACTAGGGGTCCTAGTTGATAGACCAGTCTTTGTGGAGGCCCGAGGGCTGTGCTGGCTGCACTGAGCACACAAACCCTGATCTCAACATGACACTGTGGAGGCACTGTCACTGAGTGGGCTCAAAGCTGCCCTGAGATTCCCCTGAGCTCCAACAGCCATGAATTACCATATCCTTCCTGCCTTTTGTTTTTTGTTTCAGCAGCTGAATGAAAATGTTTGGAAGACACTTAAAACTGAGCTTTCTGCTTCTTGGTTACAGCTGATCAACTGCTGTAAAGACTGTGTTTGGGCCAAGTGTACGTGGCCCGAGTTCAGTTTCAGACAGCCTAGGAAATCTGGATTCAGGAACATGGCATGCTCATTCACATTCTTTATATCTGCCTGCCATCCTTCTCCTTGCATTTTCCTTGATACCACTGTGCTTGGACTGACTCATTTCTCAATTCTGCCTACTGTGCTTGGACTGACTCATTTCTCAATTCTGCCTATCAGCGTTTGTTTACATACTTTTACCCAATTGCCAGCAAGTTTAATGAAAGGTTACAGTATGTTGTCACAGCAGCAGCTGCTGGAGCAGTAGCAGCATCTGCCTTATTTCCGGGAGTCAGAGGAATAAAAGCCGAAACTTTTTAAATTGGAGTACTGAAATGTGTCTTTTGGTAGATATTTTCTCATGTTTTCTAAAACTGAAATGGGCTGCCAAAGCCAACTGCTTATAAAAGTATTTTCTTTCCCCAAATGTAGCACTTTGTAATTGAATGGAAGAAACAAAACGAGAAAGCTCACTAAAAGTTTAAACCAGTTCCCCTGCGCTACTTTGCTTGGTCAAGTGATATTATCATAATTATTTTCTATAGCTTTTTATTTAGACTATGACTTGTATGCTATTTTCCTTTCAGCTTTAACAAATATAATAGCACGCTGTTTTTTCGACACTCCTGGCAGAAAGTCCAGTGGTCATAATGATCTATATTTATAAAGCAGAGAAGGACTGTTGTGATCCAACACACAAATACAATTAAAACGTAACTAGCCCACCACCAGAAACTTCAGTTAGAGATAATGTTGGGCCTTTTGTGAATGAACAAAGAAGCACCTTAAGTCAATCTCCATCTGGTAAGATCTGTTGGTGAAATATTGGAAAAACATCTCTGAGTCATATAGATGTGCTTCCAAACTTTTTGTAGGCTTGGGATTACTCTGCATGCTGTTTAGGGCCACTAGACAATATCCAGCAAAGCTGCCAACTGCTGATTTGAAGTACGAATCATAAAAAAGGCAGCTGGATTGGTGTCCTTGGCCTAATATTCTCTTCAGTGGGGGTCCAAGACAGCTGCTCAACCTAGCAGAATGTTGCAAATCTCTTTTGGTTTTTGGTTTTATCCAGTTGCCTCAAAAAACTAGTGAATAGGTTGAGTACATTCGTTTATCATTCATACATTCTCCTCAGCGTTCTGCTCTGTGTCTGTTGTTTCACAACAACATTTGTCAGTGTGTGAGATTTAAAGCATGTATTGGCTATTGTTACAGTTGTACGCACTAATTTTTTTTAAAGTCTACAGCTGAGTAAAAAATTGAAAACCTAAAACCTTAGCTTATCTCTGCACCCAGAGAGAACAGATCATATTCTAGTCAATAACTAGGCGAGTTGAGAAGCATTTTCTTGATTTTCTACAGTATGTTGAATAAAAACATTTGAGGTCTGGGACTCTCACTATTCCTTACCTCGCTGCGGCTGTCCCTGGAATTACCTCAAACACATAGACTCCCATGCTTACATCTGGAAAATCCTTGTCCCGGTCCTTCAGCTCTCTAATTAAACTGAGGAATGCAGAAAATGCAAATCACTCAATCTCTGTGTTTTTGTTATGAGTTGTAGAATCTGTACCGGCCATATGCACATAATACAGTACCACTGCTGTCATAATGGAAGCTATCACATTATATGCAAGAACAAGTCAAAATGCGCTTCTAGTCTTCTGCCTTACTTTGGAGAAAGCTGCAGCATTCTGACTCCCATGTACTTCTTTTTGGGTAGCGTCTTCCCTGGAATTTAAACAAAAATCAACTGCACCAAAAGCAGGGGAAAGAGGATGTTTTTTCTGTTGGCATTATAAATGTATGTACTGTATTTTTTTGGTTATTCTTAACTATTCTGAGATGCTTCACAAAATCCAATTAACATTGGAATCAATGGCATTCGTTTTATTTTTAATGCCTCTCAGTATAAACTTAAATCTCTTTTTGTGGATCTCGTACTGTATTTCTACATTCTGTTACATTGTTATACAGTACCTGTCTGACTACTGGTGGTCTAGCTCACTAATGTAATAGTAATGAACTTTACATTACAGATTGTTTCTCATAACAAATCTCGTCATGTACAGTACAATGAAAATGAGGAAAACAGAAATCAAAGAATTAGACTTTACTTCATTCGAAAATAATTAATCTTAAAATCTATAGAAATTTCACTTTAAACATGCTTTAAGGTAAAGGTTGGAAACAGGAGCTCTGAATTCCTGATCTCAAAGAACTGTATTCTGCAACCTACAGTAGGTGAACAGCAGCAGAAGACTTTCACCTACAGTCAATCTTGTTGAGGGGACAAAGTCATAACCTAAGATGAGGCTAGGGGTGTAATTTATTTATTAGGTTAGGTGGAGAGATTCTTATCATGGCCTTAAAGTTCAAAACCTCTAATTTTGAAAATACCAGAGAAAGCGCTTTGTTAATCATACACTACAAATATGTATCACACATTTAGTTGCTTTATTAGAGGACTTATTTTGTAAACCATTTAACTAATTTTAGCATTTACTTGGGGTTTACAGGGTTAGTTGTGGTTTTATCTGTGGACTGGTTTTTTTTTTGTTTTAAAAGTTAAAAATGCTTCAGCTTTGAGAGTTGCTACAGTCCCTCTTACCCTTTATCTGTCGATCATAGGATTCTGCGAGGAACTGGCGTATTCTATCTGAAGGGATTGCAAAGGATATGCCAGCTGTTACCTTCAAAGTATTTATTCCGATGACTTCACCATCCTTCAAATAAACAACAAAACATACTTTTACCAAAACTGATGCCGTCCTTGTTAGCTGATAAAACATAGTGCACTAAAATATGAGGAAAACATAGGTTGATTAGGATAAACTCACAAAACAGAAGAAAAGCTAAAAAAAAGCTTCAGAAAAATGTTAATTCTAGAATATTTTATCTGTAAAACACACAGTGTTCTAATGTTAATTGAGGGGACCAATTTGTTCCTTAATAGGGAGACAAATGTTGCTATTCTAGCACATCATCAGCTGTACATTTTCTGAAAATTGGTTCCTTAGGTTTTTATTTATCATTGTTCTGAATGAACCAATGTTTTAACTTCATCCAGATATCTTTTAAAAAGCCTGGTCTAAGAAAACAGAAATCTTAAATCTAGTATAATCTAATCTGATCATCATTTAACCACAGGGAAAATAAGGACCAAAGCCTCTGCTTGGATCAGTCCTGCTGCCTATTACCTAGATCTGACTGGTTCAATCTACACTGTGCCAGCTGGGAACTGTGGCTGGGTGTGCCACTTGCTGGTGTCCTAGACTTCAAGATAGACTCTCTTCTGAAGTTGCCATCTAATAGGAATTTGGCATTTTGTGTTTTAGAGAATGTACAATGTAGAATGAGTGTTGGCTCTTTTGTTCCTCCAGCTTGTACATTGCTGATTTCAAAACAAATGTTAAAATAGTGAGAGATGTGAAGCAGTTTAATGGAAAGGTATGCTTCAAGTTGTATATCTCACTACGAGTTTATTAGGATACTCTCTAAGAACTATTACCTGTATTGTACATCTGCCATAGCCTTGAGCGCAAAAGAGTAGTTAACAGAAAACATGACTGACTCCTGCTGTTGATGTGATGGATTCTGAATACTTAAAAAAATCAGTTCTTTAGCACTTACATCTCGCTTTTAACTGAAGTGAATTATATAAAAAACACAACTAGGTGTCTACTGAATTGCTGCCATTTGGAATATACAGTACTGTAGCTATCATTCTGCATCCGATTAGCACTTAGAAATCTTAATAGGAAAATCAGTGAAAAGTGAAAATGTGTACTCTGAGGCAATGAAAATAAATGCCTTACTCCAGCTGATCGGTTCCACAGCTGCTCATGGGAAGTATATATTATTAATTTTAATTCTTACACTCTCCTGTTAAAATACACTTTTACTAAGTAAATATTATATTTTTAGTAGTTCAGGCGGGGAGCTTCACAGCCGAAACGTTGTTTTCTTTCTTCTCTTTTCAGCATGGAATAAACCTATAACTTGTTCCTTATATCTTTTAGTACTGTATATAGTATATTTTTGCACTACAACAGTGCTTTATAACAACCTGTATTCCATTGTCAGGTTTGTTATTGTATTGTACGTAGGTGTTATACAGTATATAAGGAGTATATTTATAACAAATGTAAGAAGATTTATTAGCATGTAGCTTCAGTAAAGTTTTGAGGCCTTCCCATTACAAGACATTTAATATGTTAAACACCATTTTGACTGATTTTCACACTATAATATTTTTAATTAGAAGCCTTTAAAGAGCCCACTGGGTCTGTATAACAAGCAATTCTAACACCTGTTTGGTATTATGCAGCGTCACCCAAGAGATATTCCCAACCAAAACAAGAGGAACGATAACTTATTCCAGGAGATGATACAAAATGGTTGATTAGTCTTCCAAAAGAAATTCATTTTTGATTTGAGAACCAGAAACCTTGCTACAAATCTACACAAAACTCTGTCCTGCTATGTAATCACTTTGGGTATCTTGTGTCTTAAGACCTTTTAAGCATAATAACAGATGTTTTCTGGTTTCAATCTGCTGTTATTGCAAGAGCCTTATATATACATTGAACAAATGCACTGGTTATCAAAATCATGCTAAAGAAGTCTAGTAATTAATAATTGATGTGGAGTGAAAAAAAGTTTTTTCTACAAAAATAAAAATTGAATTTAACTTTTAGTCAACACATAGATTCCCTTGTTGTTATTAAGTACTAAACATGAGCTGTGGCACCATAAATCAATTTCATGCTTTGAAATCTGCCAAAAGCACAAAGTGCTAAGTACAGGGTTGGGCATACTCTTATCATGCAGGTGATGTTATCTGCATTTTTTAAGATTTAGAACAGTTTAACTTTTGAAACAGAAAAATGCACAGAATGATTCATGTCCAACTCACAGAAATCACAGATGTTGTACTGTTTTTTTTGTAAATGTTCTTTACTGTCAATGCCTGCAAGGTAGAAAAAAATACTGTCCTTGAAGGATTTACTGTCAGACACTACAAAGAAATGACTCACTGCAGATATTTTAAATGTAATGGGACTTCCAAAATCTTACTTATTTTTCAATAATAAAACAAGTCAGATTTGATCCCTTCTTTGCCATCTTTGTTAATATAGTTGCCATCTGTTAAAAAGCATGTGTAGTGTTTTTTAAGAACCCCCTGTCAGTTAATTTCTTCATATATAACTAGGAGAGTACTTAGCTTCTAATAATGTTCACATTGACACAGACTCAGTAAGAAGTAGAATTAGGCTCTAATCCTTTGAGCTGTATTCAAAAGAAAGGATCATATATTAGCAGAAGACTCTTTGTAAATTTGCTTTTGTCCTTATTTGTGAGAAAAACTCTAAATACAACAAATATCTTTTACAAACAAAATCTGAAAGTCACACAAACTGTTTAAGATAACAATGTTTAAGATTACAATGAAGATATACGGTTTTAGGGTTTTAAAGCTAATTTAGTGTTATGTTCTTTCTGAAAGAGTAATATGAAATTGAAGTTTTTCGTATTGTATATCAAGTAATATATAAGGTTAAAAAATAAACACAACATTCTATTTTAATCTCCAGTCATATTGAAGGATTACTTTAATCACATCTCAGTTGAAGACTTCTCGTTGTGGACGAAAATGGTTAAATAATATTGAGATGTTCATAAACATAAAAGTAATCATTTCTATGTTTTACACGTTAGGTGTTTATGCTTCTCTTTTAGTTCTGAATATTCCAAAACGAAAGATGAAAGTAAAAGCATGGGGACACAATACTGTACTTCTCACACACTTAAAAGCACAATCATACAAGAAACGTATGTGTCTTGTGCTCCAATTTGGAATGTTAAACAATTTAGTATTCTAATCTTTTGTCCAGTTATCATAGAACTAGACATGCTAAAAACCATTCTGTCCTGAAAGAAGATGATCCAAATAGCTCCCAGGTTTATGTAATGGCAGAAAATTAAAACCCCAGCTCACAGAAAAGACAGTTGCAGGCCTTCTCACACTCCACATGTTTGCAGCTGGACTGCCCATAAAGGCAGCTTGTGCCCAAAAAGCAAGGTGTTTTTAATCCAAGACAGTCTTAAAACAACAGCTAGGAGAAACATTCCCAGCACAGTGTGTTTCTTTCCACCTTAATTTACAGTGAAATGTGGGTTGCCAGCACGATTTAGCAGAAAGGATTGTGCTGCTGTGATGTCGGTTTTGACTGCGCCATCTGTCACTGCTTCTGAACTCCTGAACTGTTGGCGTGATGTTCAGAAACTTGAAAAAAGGGCATCAGTGTCTTGTCCTCTCCTAATGATTTAAATCCTTGAATCCTGAAAGAGTCCCTGGGTAATTTCTAAGTTGATAACCTCCATTACCTACTGTACCTTCCCTATTTATTCAGTTTTCGATTAACTCTGGTCTGCTAAACCAACATATTCCCTTCTGTCACAAAAATCAGTTAGGAGAAAGTATGTCAGAAAAATAAATCCCTGTTAAATTTGTCTAGATAACTCAGAAGCTATTTATGTTCAGTTGCTTTATACATTTTTTTTATTTTGCTGAATGTGAAGAAACGTCTAATGACATTTTTTTCTGATTAATCAGGAAAGGTGACCGCTTGCCAAGACTACATCAATATCACTTTAGCATGACCTTTGTAAGAGTGCTTAACCTGCATATTCACAAATCTTTCCTGTTGTCTAGAAGCAGTTGCCAATGTTACAGCAGCTGGTAAAACTAAATTCCACAATTAAGTGTGATTTACAGTCAGTTTCAATAAGTCGTGGTTTACTGGTATGTTGTAATGAAATTTTTCTTGCAATAATTCCACATAATAATTCCACAAAGTTTGAAAAGTTGTCGAAGGTATGCAAAGTTTAACTGAGTGTTTGAGAATATACAGTATGGTGTATGTTTAGAATTCAGATATGACATTTTTTTTTCCATTTCTTACCAAGTTAACCAGCGGTCCTCCTGAGTTCCCATACTGGAAGAGAATATAAAAACAATGTAACAGAGGCATGATATTTGATATACTCACATAGAAAAATTGTATCTCAAAGCAACATTTCTGGTTTTCTGTTTCACTCTAATCTCCTTCAAGGGGAACTGCAGTCTCAATTTCTCAGACAGGTTATTAAATCTTGGTAACAAAATAAATGAAATGCCAGCATTGCAAAATTTCACAAATTCTAAATTAAGCACTAAATAGTGAACTTACTTGTGAAAGTACTATACTGTATAATCGCTATTCTGTCCGGAGTTTGCAAAGATTGCGACGTGAATTGGCTCACCCTGCTCACTAATCACTATAACGTACTGTACGAGAGGATAAGGGCGGGTTGTGCAGCAGAAATTAAACGCAATCTGCATGTAGAGTTAACATGTTGTATTTTTTTGGCAACACTGTGTCAAAGGCGAGGGCAATATTTCTACTGGATTAAAAGAGATGTATTCACAAGCCTGCTTGTTTACAATGTGAAAGGGCCGCTTCTCCTCACTGGATGCTTGGCTGCCTAGTTCTGAATTGCAGAATCTGGCAATAGAATATAGTCTATTTCATTACATAAATTGGAGGTTTTGCATGTTACTGTGTACATTTTACTTTCATTGTGGTTTGAATTACACTCATCAATGCTGATTCTTTCAAACCCCAAAATATAAAAATTATATACAAAATATATACACCTAATGTGTAAAACGTGTTCCCCTTTAACTGCACCTTTGCTATTGTCATTTTTCTAAAGTCCTTAGAAGGATATAGATTAAAGAAATCTCTAAAACACTGCTATTCAACCTGCGGCCACTGTGCTTTATTTCACCATTTTGCGATAACCAGCTATAACCAATTCAATTATTTGAATTGATAATCAGCAGGATCAATATGGCCGATATGGAGATGAATGTAAAGGCCACAAGTTGAAGAGCCCTACTTTAAGACCTGCTTGATCCAGGATCTCCAGTACCAGATGGGTAATGCAATATGCAATATATAAAAAAAAAATATTTGGGGGAAATTGTCCAAAAAGAAAGCATTGAGGAGTTTGTGAACTGGTTGGTCTTGCAGGTTCAAGCTGAAATTCCCCAAGCCGTGGCAGTTTGCACCACCCCCTTGAAAACTCACATTGATGATGGCATCAGTCTGGATGTACTCCATGTCAGAGTCCTTCAGCCCCAGCTCTCGCCCCCCTCTCTGGGTGGTGCTGACAATGCCAGTGGTCACTGTATTCTGGAGAGAGAAGGGGCTTCCCACTGCCACCACAAACTCCCCTGGCCGCAGGTCAGCAGAACGTCCCAGTAGGAGCACTGGCAGGTGGCTCTAAATCACACAAGGCTCTGTATAAATTCTGGTTTTCCACTGTTGTAAATGGACAATCTTGGCATAGCAAAATTAGGGGGAACTGTGTTTTATTAATATTGTTAGGGTTTCCTTGTATATTGCAAATAAAAACAGGGAGGTACAGTACAGTATCTTTATTAATAAAGGATTTGTTACAAGGCAACACTTTACGTTATTTTCTTGCTGGTTTAAACAGATATATGAAGAATTAAGTCAGAAACCTACATTTCATATAACCTTTAATTCAAAAGGCAGGTGATACTGAAACTGCTTATTTATAGAACATGTCCTAGTCAACTACCCATTATTGATATGAAAAGACCTGTGACTCATCATGTAATACTATTTGAAAATATTGGCAAAGACTTATTTTGACATTGATATTGGTCTCAGGTGGGCAGGCTGTGAGATTGTGTGTTGTCCATTAGATTAGTCAATTTTCAGCAGTGTTGGAAAAACAATAAGAAGGGTCTGGTGTTGATTTTTGGTGGAAGGGTGGGATTTTTACAGTTTTTTTTAAAGCATTCTGGGGATCACATACACGAAGATGTGCAGTGAGCTGCCATGCTACCTCACCAGCTACTGCACTGACACTGCTGTCTGATTTCTGGTAAATCACAGCAAACGACTGCCAGCTGGAGACTGCATCTTATCCGTAGCATAACTGTATAAAAGCTATATGTAAAATAAGAAGGCTCAAAAGCTTGTTTTAATTTTAACCAAATGTCTCTCAAGTCTCTAAAGAAACACCTTCACCTGCTTGGCTTGTCAATGCCTGTCTGCTCTTATTAGAGGAAAATGTGATTTTACTCCCTGAGTCTCATGCTTGTGGTTTATCAGGCCCGAGGGCCTGAAATCCCGAACTCAATCACTGCTAACAGTTCGATCCCCTGCTAGGAACTCGTGACAGTTTAATTGTCACAGATTGAAAGATTTCCTCATCATTACAGTCGCAGGGAGTTTTTCTCCTCTTCCCCAAAGTCATTGTAATATTAGAGTATTGATGGGATTTTATTGTGCATAGAAATATAGAAGATCTATAAGGTGGCATCCTTATTTATATTACATTAAATTATTACATTCTTACTATTTTAAAAGAGTTAACAATATTTTGGGGGAAATTAAAAGAAAGACCAATTTATTCAATAATGTAACAAAAAATAATTTGCTAAATTGCAGAGATGGTCAAACTATCAACAACTTTGAAATAGCAGTGTTTCAAACCACTAGAAAAAGTACTTTCAGGACTTCAGAATGGAACAAAACAAAGAACAGTAACATACTGAACAAAAACAATATGCAAAATCTTTGAAGGACTGATTTCTTCTTCAAAGAACTGATTTAATAGACTGCTTTCAGTCTGACTGACCCTTGACTGACTGACATGACTATGTGACTTACGTCTGGTTCAATTTTAATGAGTGCGATGTCCAGTTTTTGGTCCACATCCTTGACCTTGGCATCATACTGGGCGCCACTCTTCAACTCTACTTTGATGCGCTGTTTATTGGTCAGAACGTGAGCATTGGTGACAATCCATCCATCCTCGGACACAATGAACCCTGAGCCACTTGACACAGGAATCTCCTGGTTGGTGAAGGGCAGTCTAAAAAGAAATGTATTTTAAAAGATCGATACCAATGCTAAAGTTTTGTACTTCTTTATGTACTTTACTGCAGGCACAATTATGCTTGTGTGCAAACACACACAGAGATACAGTATACGGTAGGTTAACAAATACCATGTTATAAACTACATGTACTAAGTATCCTATACTGTATACTGTATTCATTTCAGTTTTTGAATTATTGAATAACATTGTTTAAAGTTAGCCATGAGCCTTAGCAAGACAAGCAGACTGAAACACTGACCCTGAAGGTTTAAACAGGGGCCAGTATGTATGCATATGACTAGTCATTCTAGAAATTTTAGTTTATAGAGGGAGACATAATAATCATAGAAATGGAAGACTGTATTTAAGCATGGAAATTAGTTTTGTTTTAGGTTTGAATTTCTTTGATTTGTTATGCCATAAAATCTGTCCCAGTCATTGAAGCTCGGAAACAGCCAGGGATACCAAAGCCTATGCAGACCAGTCTCAGATATTATTTAAAATGCTATATTTCAGCAGTTATTGTATCTTCATTTTTAAAAGTCCTTTTTTGTCCACAGTTTTTGTGAAAGTTAGGAAGCGGCATAGCAGTATTGCCTATAAAATTACTTTAAGGTTTGGTTTTGGTTTTTGGTTTGGTTTTGATTTTTGGGGGATTGAATGAGCTAAAATATTAAGAACTTGATTTCATTCCATTTACTGTACATGAACCGTATTGTTTCAGATCCTTGAAGAAAGTTTGAGTTAATGTTAAAGTTTGATGATACTTAATGTGATGCACTCAACCCTGTGCACTGTGGTCAGTCAGCTAATTTATGGGATCCATTTTATTGAATAGGCAGCTGGAATAACCAAAGAGTTAATGATATGAGCCATGGCAGTCTCTTGAGCTACACACGGGGATTGCTTTGTTAAAGCACTGTAAACTTCAAAATGGCTTGTCCAGGTCTATTTTAAATTGACTGGCATTAAATTATTAGGATATTTATTCATTATATCAGTTCTTTACCCCAGAGCCACAGCTTACCGACGGAACAGTTCCAGATGTACCACAGCTGGGGCAATCTTATCCACCACATCAGCGATGAAGTTGAACTTGTACCGGAGACTATCAGGATTCTGGGGACCTGGGAATGAGAATCATGTGCAGATTTTAATTACAGTACATGTTGAATGAAAAGGTGTGGGACCACTACAAGAATGGATTAAAAATAGGAACATTTCCTATGTCCATTTAGAATCCTGGGAGACAGGGTAATTTATTCTTTCTTGTAGTTTCTAGAAATGTTTGTTTTATTTTTTAAGCCCATTGTCTCATTGGACACCTTAACATGCCCTGCGGGGGAACTTCATATTAGACAGATCATTTAGAAAATATGTTTCACTTTGTATTAGAAGACCAGAACACTGTAAGAAACAGTACACTTGAGATGAGTAACAGAGATTCTCATATTTCTAGTTTGGTAATTTACAGTATGTGTTGTACAGTTCATCCATGTTTTCATCTTAGAAAAAGAAAATAATGCTCTGTTTGTACCAGTGAAGAGTCTTTTATTATTAAGATATTTGTTGGAAATGTACAGTATGGTAATTATTTAAGATGCTCCAGAAGCTTGTTTGAGAGAGGTCTGCAGTTTCCAAATCACAAGTGCGTAAAGTTTTGCCAGACTAAATAGAATTCAAAACATACTGTACAGTTTGAAGTGTTGCAGCAGAGCAGACTGTTGGTTTTGGCATGACATGTTGCTTTCAATATGCAAATCAGCTTGGCCAAGAAATCCCAACATGATTGCAAGGGAAAAAAAAGCAAAAACAGAGGCTTTTTTACAGAGGTGCCTATTAAAGGGAGTGAATCTCATGATAACTTATTCTTTTAACAAAGAGAATTTTGGCTTTTTTCAATGTGATCAAACATATCTTGTAAAACCAAATTCATTGCAAGAGATCCAAAGCTGAGGTAGAACTCTTTCATGGAGCTGTCAATGGAAAATTGAAAGCATTCAGAGTGACGCAGTGTCTTTTAATTTTGTGCTTCAATTAATAAACTCAATAGATCTTTCATTCTGGCCCTGTGGGGTTTCACTGGAAATTCACACACTGAAGAAATAAGGTGTGTTTAGACACAGAGTGCAATAATTGTCCAAACGTACATTTTTTGTTTTTAACACAGCCTTTAAGTGTTAGATTTCAGAATTGTTATCTTTTATGTTAACTGCTTTTTGATATTTACTGTATATGCAATGGATTTTAAGTCATTTAATAAGGATTGCTTAGTGGAAAAGGGAATTCAAAGTTGATCTACACTATTTCCTATTTGGATATTTACAGTATGACTTAAACATCAGCAGACACAAACAGCTGCCAATACAAGCACAATTTAGTGTGATTCTCCAGTATTCTGTAATGCTGATCAGTTTGAGTAATATTTTGGAAATAGGCATCATAGTTAGGTAATGAAAACCCAATTATAAGCGATAGACTGTTATAGGTTGGCAAAATGTGATGGTACTGTCCCAGGAAATTGATAAAAACACCAGTTTAATTGACATACTGTACAGTACAGTAAATGTACTGTAACAGATTAAAGTTAGGGGTGACTCTTTCTAACACAAATTCGACTCAGAAAGCATGAGAAACAGTTATGATGAATAAAACTTTTGCAGAAGGGGAACTGACTTAAATTGTCTAAACTGGCTGGTTTAGATGTGTTTTTACATTAATTAGGAAGGTCTTTCTCATTGTAAGTGTGTTTCCGATAAACAAAAATATGATATTACATGCTGTTCCAAAACATGAGTTCTGTAGTTTATGGAGACAAAAATCTTTGCTTCTTTCTTCTTATTTTGACCTCTAGCATATGTAAGACAACAAGAAACATAATTTATGGGTGAAGAATTAATGAACTCTGTAAGGTTAAATTTACTTTTGGTAAACATATTTCAAAATCCATCATTTCTTTTGTATGGAATGAAGTTTATGTCTTCAATCTGTTTATACTGTATATTGACACTTGGGTGCTTGGCAAAATACAGCTGTTTTGCCCTGCTGTGAAAATGCCTTTCCAGACCACTTTAAAAATTTGTTTTCTATTGACTTATCTGCAAAAATAAATACATAATCAGTATACATATATATGTATACACATTCAGTTTTAGTAGAAACCAATTCTGTTCTTGATAGATATGCACACTGCATTCCAGTGTGTAAAATCAAGCCAAGTCTTGTTTCGGCAGCTGAGTTTGATGTTAGGGTGGGAGATATGCAAACTCTATCTCCTTGCTCCATGCATTCTGTCCCTCCAGGCTCTTGAGTCAGACTGCTGCAGAACCTTTGGCAAGACTGCCTGAGTACCTGGGGTTCTGATAAGGAGAGTTAAAGATTTCAGCATACAGATTTTACTTTAAGTATTGCAGTACGTGCAAAGCGGGCATCAGGACTATCAGAATCAACAGCATTGCTGTTCATGTTATTTTTACTAAAATGTTTATTTTATTATAACCAGGTTGCGAAACCCAATAATATTGTCTATCCTATACCAGAAAGCTGTTTTACACGTGAACTTCAAAGGGTTCTTAATAATAAGGGAAGAAGGGAAAGGAATACAAAATAAGACTCTAGATAAAAATGGCCTATTATAATTAAGCACTATTTTCAAAGAGACTGCTTAATGAAGTAAAGTGTTTCGCAGATTTAATAAGAATCTACATGGAAATTGAGAATATTTGACATGCCAGTCCTTAAGGAAAGATTCAATTCACATCAGCTGACATTTATTGACATAAATAACATTTTTTGCGTTTTCCTTCTAGTAACTTTTAACTACTTTTAAATAGAGAGACATATTAATGGTCTACAGTACCACCAGCATCACCCATCTCTGCACTTCATGCCCCATTGACTGTGATGTCAACATGTCCAATGGGCTCACATGGAAATGGAAATGGCCATCACGCCATATCTCACGATTTGTCTTCCAGCATGCCAAATACTTTTTCATCTTTTGAAATCTAAGTAATGAGAAGCAAGTAATGTAAGCACAGTTTGAGACCCCTAGGTGTGTTGGTTAAAGAGTAAAAGGCAAAGAATTGGTAAACTCCCTCATTGTCTCTTCAGGGTACAGAGGCTCGCTTACACTCATGATCGGCTTCCAGAACACAAAGTTACCAAACTGCTTTGTTGCTAGTCAACATCAAGGAGAAACTCGGCTCCTGGATGGAGCTGGCAGCAGCACAGGTTTTATTAAGAGACGTAATATTACATGATGAGAGGAATAAAAAAATTGATGTTATTGATGTCCACAGCAATCTGGTCCATTTCAGCTTTTTGAGTCTCAGGCATTTGTAGAGATTATATTAATGAAAATGAAACATAAAGGACTATACCTGTATCTAATATTTAAACCTCACGTTTGTCTTTTAAAATGAATTTAAATGTAATGACAGAACAAGACCTCGGTAACACCTGTTGCTGTCTTCTGTAGCAATTTGTAAAATCTGAAAGAAACTAACTGTTATGCATTAGGAGTTTGGGCATTTTCACCTATGACATCTTCTCTGTCACCTGGTCTAGTTTTGAAGTGAGTTGAATTTATTCACACCCCCAAACAAGGAAAGATGATACTGTAACGCATACGGCCGACAGGCATTGTGTAAGAGCTGGCTTACCAGAGCGGTGACGTCGCCGCCCTTCCCTGTGATAGCAGGACTACAGCTACTGGGCTGTAGGGGGATCTCTCTTTGGCTCACCCGGCTGGGTCCCTGCTGAGTGACGCAGGAGTCCCGGGTTCGAGCCCCCAATGGTGCGGGGCCGACCTAATGCGGCAAGGGCGCCCGCCTGAACCCCCGTTGTGTTACATCGGTGTCAGAAGCGGGGTGGGATAGCCCTTCGCCGGGGATGGCGGTTTAAGCGGGGGAGAGTGTAACGCTTATGGCCGACAGGCACTGTGTAAGAGCCGGTGTACCAGAGCGGGTGACGTCACCGCCTTTCCTTGTGATAGCAGGACCACAGCTACTGGGCTGTAGGGGGATCTCTCTTTGGCTCACCGGGCTGGGTCCCTGCTGAGTGACGCGGGAGTCCCGGGATCGAGCCCCCGACGGTGGGGGGCTGACCTAATGCAGCAAGGGCGCCTGCCTGAGCCCCCGTTGCGTTACATTGGTGTCAGAAGCGGGGTGGGATAGCTACTGGCTCACCGGGCTGGGTCCCCGCTGAGTGACGCGGGAGTCCCGGGTTCGAGCCCCCGGCGGTGCGGGGCCGACCTAATGCGGCAAGGGCGCCCGCCTGAACCCCCGTTGCGTTACAATACTAATGTTTCATGTGTGCATTTTGTTCGCTTAAAAAAGAAAACGGGGTTAGGTTTAAACACAGTACAGTGCAATAAATAAATCAACATTTTGCAAAGCCACAGCCAAAGAGAATGACAAATTAAGTGTTTAAATCTTTATCTAGCTGTTGTTCCAGGTTGCAGTGCATAGATGTACTTCTTTCATAGTTTAGATAAATCCTAGTTTGGATACTTCTGAGTATCTGAGGCAGGTATCAGCCTCTGCTAGAATTTTTCACACAGTAAAAATCGGATAAATTATTGCTTTTTGGCATAATGTGTGATTAGATTATCTTTGCCTGATTTTCTACAATCACATTGTAAGGGATCCTGAATGTTCAGAAGTATTCTGATTACAAATAAAATTCAGTCCTTCAAATGTTAAGTGCATTTTTTGAAATTTTGAATTTTCCTGTGGCTGAAAGTTTGATGATAAGAATGCTGAACAAGTACAATTACTGTATAATACAGGATTTGTTTGTATTCTGTATGTACTGTATATTTGAAGTTCCATTTTAAATAAGTAACTACTGTAACAACACGTTGTCGAAATAGCAGTGCCAGAAACTTCGGTAAACAGACCTAGCATTCTATTTTTTTAATTTAAAAATAGATAGAAATGTGAAGCTTCTTTATAAAAAAATGCTACACATTATAATTAATTAATGCATAAAACTGACGTGAAACTTATATTTCTATTTTCCTATTTATCGCCAATGAAATTATATTCTATGTTCTATATTCAAGACCTAGTTGAAACGTCCTGGTTCACTTACCAGAATCGCAGGGACTCTTCTGAATGAGGATTACCGGAGGGGTTTGGTTTAGCTCAGCTCTTCTGTTCTCGGCTCTCAGTCGGCAGATGCTGGGATATGTCCTTCCATCGCTGCCGCAGACCGGTTCGGTGGCAGCGCAGACGCATGTACCTCGGTGCCTGCGCTTCCCTGGTGGGTAGACGCACACCATCCCCTCGCCACAGGTCCCCAAACCGCGTCCGCCACAGAGGTCTCCTTCTCCCGCTGCGCAGATGTCGCAGCACCCGCAGTCGTCTTTCACCTCCCCGTAGAAGCACGAATCCGGGACTGGGGGGCAGCGGGAAATATCACATATCTCCGGGCAAAGCGTTTGCCTTTTCTTTAATAAACGTGCATGAACCACAGATGTTAAAAGGATAAGGGCCAACAGCTTGATCGTCATGTTGAGAGGTGTCTGAGAACAGTTTTTGTCTGAATCGCAAAAAGTAACGTCGTTTGAATATATGTCATCAAAATAAAATATCGACTGACTTATTGTTTTGGGTGGAACGAGTCCTCAGTTCTTAGATTTAAATTTATGTAATCCATTCTGAGCAGCAAGTTAAACAGAATATATTTCACAGCGGCACAGACCTTTCCAGTTAAAAGGTTACAAGTCTAAAATAAAGTGGAAAAAGTTTTATTTGGATGAAACAATAAAAAAAGTTTCACTTCAAGCCGACAAACCTAATGATTAGTTTGCGATGTGGAGTACCATAATCACAGTTTTTCTAACAAGTCTTTCTGAATTCTGTTTTCGTCTGCTTTGACTTTGAGACTCTCTTCAAAGCCCTTAAAACGACCTCGGCAAGGTCTCTCGGAATGCAGGAATTAAACTTGCTTTCCAAGTTCTTTACGTACTGTATGTGTAGTACCGGTGGGAGGATGTCTAGAAACCGTATTACGACCTGTCCACGAATAGGGGAGATAACGCTTCATTGTTAACTGTACCCTCAGTTTGGAGATGGTACATTTACATATCGTTAATAACAGAACGCATTAAAATTAAAGTACGTAATTTCTGAGAAATTTACTGACTCGTGGTCATTTTAAAAAAAACTAAAATAGTACTACAGACGTTTTTTTCCCAAAAGAATGTACTGTACATTAACGACAGTGGGAAGACATACCATATAAGAGCAACACATAACACATCCATTTTTAGATGCATGTACAGTATTTAAATGCTAGAAGCAAAAGGAGAAAAAATGGAAATCTAGGCTACTGTGTTATCAGAAAACAATGAAATTATAGGAATAATTCATGGTTGGGGAGATGACAGGGTCAAATATAAAATTAATGGGTACACCTTTTTGCAAAGACAGGCAGGATAGCTAACTTACAGAGTGCAGAATTGAAATAGGAGGGTACAGGCAGTTCAGTATGTCTATGGGTTAAACCTGAAAAGTAATGCTAAGGCCCTGACAATGTAATATTGATTGCCTAATGTACAAATAGGCACAACTATATTACTTTATGATGTGATCAGGAAAGTATGTACAGTAATAATGATATTCTGATATCAGATATCCAGATATTGATATTGATAGATTCAGGTTCAGACATTGTAATGAGGGTTGCTGAAGCTAAAACTGTTGTGGTTAATGGTTGATTCTTAACTAAGGTTGTTAAACGTACCAACTAGAGAAGATATTGACTAAATCATTTTAGATAACAAGGATATACTGTACTGTAATAAATGTAATAGAACCACTGGGATAATGCAAGCTCAATACAAATACCTTTCGGTCTGTGTTTTAAATGTCTAACACAAGTTTAAATTGAGGGTTTATTAAATATGTTCTATTGTTTTAAGTTGTAACTTTAGCAGTCTTCTTAAACAGTGTACACTTTTTAGGTACTTTTTGTATTTAAAAACTATTCTTAATTTTTATATGCTTTTATCTGACACCTCTGTTTTCTCCTCCTTGTTGAAGCAGCTCCCTTCAAGCCTTGATCTCCTTAAACAATGAGTTCTCATCATCCTTGCCTGGTAACATGCCGTAGTTTTGCTGTGCTGTGTTTTTTAACATTGACAAAGTGGTTGTGAATCTGTATATCTCTGAGTCACTTCTGATTCAGCCCAGTGTAAAAATAATAAGACATAAAGAGCTGCCAATAGAATTTGCCAATGTAAGAGCTGAAGAATCCAATGAATGAGAAAGTTTTTACTGTTGATTGTGGAAAAAGTCAACATTTAGGCTTAGATGAAGAAAAAAAAAATGATCTTTTTTTTAAACATGTGCACACATGCCAGGTCAAAACTACCTTTTTCTCTGAAGCAGTGAGGCAGTTATACAGTATATTGCCAAATACATTGCTGAAGGTAAAATACTCTGCAAATCTGTCAAATTCAAGAATTTCAACATGATTAACCCACTGAGACAGGGTCCTGAATGTGAGGGATTAAGGCGTAACTGAGTTGCTTAATTAGATTAATATAACCATTTTCTTCTAATGTCTATCTGTTTATATACAGAGACAGAAAAACTGCTGGATTTTTGTCCTGAATGAAGACGAAAAAGGGGAAATAAAAGCGGACTCCTTGTTGGGCTATATCTGTAGACAAAATACTAGGCCATTGTGAAAATGTCTTCTTATGTACTAAATCTCTAGGTATCTGGTCACTTAACGCATTTGTTGCTGAAGCTGGGATTTCATTGTCTATTTTTTAACAAAGAACTAGTGCAATGTTCATATATAAATAACTTAATTTGTCTAATAGCTTTTACAGTATATCTGACATTATCCAACCAACTGCCAAAAATCTTAATCTTTTCTTTTATTGGGGAGAAGTGCTACAGTATATAGATATTGCAATATCTTCATATTTTTCATTCCATGAATATTTCACAACCCATGATGACCCTTTTATTCCTCTGCATGTATCGCACGTACAGTACCTTGTTTACTCACAGTACTACTGTCAAACCTAATTGCCTCGTTTTATCTTTTAAGAAGACTTACAAGAATGGATCGTGGTTTTGCCTTCCAATACAGAAATATACACTGAAGCTCAAGGCCAGAATCAATCATGACCGTAGAGCTTTGAGGCAGTGGAACAGACTTCCACACTGCTGTACTGCCTCACTGTGTGATATTGAACCAACGATTTCAACGTAGTTTGATTGTTCTTTTGTAGCTGAGACTATGAATATTGCATAAGAGCTGCAAAATAAATTCGATAAATATAAGATAAATTAAAGTTTCAGTTTCAAGCAAACTCCTTGTGTGATGGGCATGTTAACTCTCATGTGTGACATCGCTTTACATTTTAGTAGTGTACAGTTTGGCCAACTTTTTTTGTGGATCCGGGAGCACCGTATAGAACTTTTTACAAAGAAGCTGTCTTCTTTACACCCGGTCTCTGCAATGTGCTGCTGAAAATCTCATTTGACACGTTTGTTGTGTATATCACTCTGGTGCAGTACTCTTTGTACTGGAGTTCCTAGATTATTGGATACAGCGAACGTGTCACAGACATTGAAAACGTGATTCCTTTGAGCTGTTACATATTGAGATGTTCCCAAGTCAAGAAGATCTTTTCACAGCCAGGTCTCTCCAATCTCGTCTTTATTGGAAAGCTAACACAGTCATTCATATACAGGACACTGTTTTCATTTGGTGTAACATGTTTAATATAAATTGTATTTTTATGAAGAGGATTTGATTTATTTGTGAAATATGCAGGTGTTTCACCAGTGTATATTGTTAGTGGTATTGGCATGAGATGATATGAAGACAAATGTGATGTAATTGAGACAAATTGTGAAGGGCTATTGAATATAATAAAACCATGAATACAGTATGTTTTCTTTAACCCTCTGATATTAATAAAGACATTAGGTATAGTAATTCCTCTACAGCAGCTGTGCCTGGTCATTTTGTACATTGGTTATCATTCCTAAAACTCTGGACAGGAGGGTTTTTATCAAGTCTTGTACAGTACCTATGAACTGGTTCAAGTAGGTAGCTGTGTCAGGATGCAAAGGCTGCAAAGGAATGGGTTAAGTTTTATTCCATGCTGAAAAGAAAAAGAGACCGAAACATTTTTGAATGACAGCAGAAGAAGGCTCCGCAGCCAAAACGTTATGTCTCTTTTCTTTTATGCATGGAATAAACCTTTACCTGTTTCTTTGTACCTATGAACTAGGCCTGTATTTTCAAATACTGTAGCACTTTAAAAATTCAAAAGCAATCAAGACCTTCAAATTATTTAGACAGTCTAAAAAATCTAGTTGTATTGTGTCAAGGCATTGGTGCTAAAAGAAAGGATACAAACTCTGAGTTAGTTTTACAATACATTATTTATAGAGTTTGGTAGAATGCAGTGCTATAACAAATTCCAATACCTCTTACACACATGTTATGTCATTTGCACATCACATATCCCTGTAAAGCATTATGTGT